GGAGGGAGAAGTCAATGCTGGGGGAGCTTTATGTCAGTAAGGAATAGGGGCCCATAAATTGTTATTTCTGATAGGTGAGCAAAATGGTTAACTGTATGCATCTCTAGATTTTGTACTGTCAAATTGGAGAGGAAAAGTCTGCATTTCTCTTACAGCTGTATTTTTTTCCCAAAGTGTTTGCAGATGTGGGAGACAATACTGCATTGTTTACCCCGTGTTAATTTCTAGAAGGTTATTATGAAATAAGAGATGGAAATAAGCTCTTTGAAAAGTGCATGTTTGAGTCTGGGACAGAAACCTGCAGCGAGGTTTGAATTCCACAACATGCTGGTACCACCGATACCACAAAATAAGCAGGATCTGGAGCTTAAGGATGAGAGAAGATGGTTGCTTCCCAAGAATGCCTATATATTTCATTCCTTGGCTGTAATTAATTACAATAATTTTCTGGAATCTTAGTTTTTGTAATGGCTTTATCAAAATTCCTACAGAGTCCCAGTACAGAGCGCTTTTTCTTATGAATTTAACCTGTCTTTTCTCTGTGTGTTTCGTGTGAGTAGGAAGCTCTGATGCTTGCCAGTTTTCATCCCTCTAGTGATTTTGCAAAGTGTAATCATTGTAAAGTGCAATTGCTTAATATGTAGCTCATTCACTAAAACCCCAAGGATAAAGGCAGTGAGTTATGTGAGTCATTACCAGAGCAATGGTATCTAAAAAGATGAAGAGTCATGCATCAAGTACCAACCCATTTAGTCTTGAATTAAGAATTTAAAAAATCACTAGTCAGATGTGATTGATATTATCTCCAGGCAAATTAAAGTAGTTACTCTGGAATGCTGTGCTGCTGCTAATGTTTTTCTCTTCTGGTATGAGACATGCTGATCGGTTACATGTCCCTACTGCTCCGTTTGTCTGTCCGAGGCACTTGTCTAGCAGCTCTCCCAGGTGCCATCTGCATCTCTCTTTCCTTTCTAGGCACTATATACCTTCATGCCTGAAACTCAGAAATTTTGTCTAGAAAATATGAAGAACTGTTCTGGCTTGATAGCAATGTTAGAGTTCAAACTCGTGGCTTTCAGTCACACCTAACTTTTATTCACCCAGCCAGGGTTCAACAATTTTTTTTCTTTTTCTTTGTGCTAAATCATATGAGCTGGCATAGATTTCTTCTCCATCTCATTCCAGTGAGGAACTTTTTGGTCCAGGAATATAGAATTTGACTGGACAATGTACTGTAAATAACTGGAGTGTTAACTTTTCCATCATTGTTCTACGAGGGTAGTTTGCAGCTTAATAGGTGATGTGAGCTATCATCTTATTTTTCACATGCTTTGAGATGTACAAGAGCCTGAATTGGCTCAGTGCTAGAGCATGACAGTCTATGTAGCGGTCTGAAGGGGAACCAAGGTTTAACACAGGTGAAATGATTTATGCACACTGATAAATCAGGAGTTATGTTTTGCTTCCAAGGTTTCCTATGGAAACAAAAATGACAAATTTCCTGAATTACAATGAAAAAAACCCAGACAACAGAACAAGACATGTGCTGGGTATATGTGTAGCTCCCTTGAAGTCAACAGGACTTGGGCAACATTACACTATTTGGGGATCTACTATTAGAGGTATTATACTGTCAGGGATATTATTAGGAGCATGAAATAATACACATAATAAATGAGTACACCAGTCTATGACATTGCTTGTGGACCACATTTATAAGGCATTTTACTATTGAGTCACCTTTAATTTGTGCATCAAAACCAGACCACAACATTTTACTGTGACTTGATTGGCCTTAAAATAGGGGTTATAACCCACAAGCTGTGCTACTATGTGTTCCCTAGCTAGAAATACTCCACAAAATGTAACAGCGGACCACAAATAATCTTTAGATTATATTTATTGTAAATCGGGTATGTATAATCCATTTCTGCATACTAATTTTTTGTCTTTATGTCAATTTCTCAAGTCTTCTGGATGCAGCTTTTTTATTCTGTGCTTTCTGTAGCTATTGACAAGCCCCTGAAAAACTGATAATACTGTAAGGGCTTTTCTTCTCCTTTTGCATGGTGCGTTGCTTTGCCTTGTACTTGTGATTGCCTCCTATGCCTAGGGTCAGTACAATACATAGTGTGTACCTCAGAGAGTCTCTTTAAAATAGTATTGCATTTTTTCGTATTATATTGCATAGGAACAGATAAGATGTTTACACTGGTAGCCTCTGAGCTTTTGGGATGCTGCCATTTTGTGTAGAGATCTCAAACACTGTGGGAGTAGTAGTATGTTTATGAAATTCATTACAGGACTACATTTTTCTAAATGACCCAGTCCACTTCATAGGAAGTCAAGTGACTCAAAAAGAAGAAGCTATAGATCAAACCTGGCAGTGTCAAAGTAGGTGATGCAGTAAGGAAACAAAGCTGTTAAATTAGATCAGAGGTTTGCAGATCACTGGTCTAGAAAACGTATACATTTCACAGCAGAAATGATCTGTAAGGTATTCCATTTGTGTACCTGAATTTGTTGAGACTTGGGTGTCGCCCTTGAACGTAGGTATACAAAATCCTCGAGGGCATTACGTTATATGAAAAACTGTGGGGTTTTTTGCTTATTTTTCCCCAGTTGAGTTGAGCTGGGAATCCTCGACAGAAGCTGTGAGAAGCAAAACTTGAGGTTTAAGTCTGCTACATTCCTTGAAGGTAGCTACACACAAGCAAACTATTTTTAAGAGTATGAAAACCAAACAAGCTGTACTTTTAAAGGCAGGCTTTAGGAAGCCCCCCAGAATTGCCCAGTTGTTATGAAGCTTATTTGTGGGCTGTAAGGCATCTAGAATTTGCATCCTGTGCTTACAGCTCTTCAGACTGGAATAGATTTGCTTTCTTGACTAGCTGCGTCCATGCAGTCATGGCCTTAGCCAAGGAAATGTGGAAGCTATGGAACATATGCCCTCAAAGATGAAAACCAGTGCCATATCCAGCAGGCACTTCTGTGTTCCCAACCAGGAGAACAATCTCCATAAGACTGGAGGACTGTAGGAAGAGGTCTGCAGAAAGTAGGCACTGACGCAACACATGGAGACTTTTTCACTGTATCTATCACGTTGCTTTCAGGCCAATGCACATTTTCCACTATCAGAATTGATAAATCAGGGGAAAAAAGTGTACGTAGCTAGATTTGTTGTCCATCTGTGACTGCAGTGGTTATTAACTGTCGACTCACTGTTCTTTCAGTCAACACCAACAATAAGATGCAGTCCTTTGTTTCTGTAACTTTGTACGTATATGAGTTTGTTTACATTCAGTCAACACCAACAATAAGATGCAGTCCTTTATTTCTGTAAGTTTGTACATATATGAGTTTGTTTACATTTTTTTTCAGTGGAAAGGAGGAGTTGTCTGGTCCAACACAGAGATTTGTCTTGTGAAAATTACTTTTGTTCTAATTGTTACATATTTAAATGTTGAGATTTTTTTTCTCAATTGAGCATTGTTTTGTGATTGTTTACTACTAGTAGCATAGTGCATGTAAAAAGAAAAAAAAAAAAGAAAAAAAAAAACAAACCACAAAACAACCAAACAAAACACACACAGTAAAAAAGTCACAAAATAATTAAGCCCTTCCCTTTCAAAACTTTCTGTACTGATACCAGCATCTCTGCTCAGCATTTCAGTCCAGAAGACTTTTTGTGTTAAGTGATACTAACGCTAGCAAAGGATGTCTTTTCCTCCGTGTCTAATTTGTACCCGTTTTTGTTGGTGGTGGATAGTTGATAAGGGATGCCTGCCCATCACTCTGAAATGGCAGAGTTGTCCTGATCGATGTGTCTAGTTGTGCCAGAATCAATCTGAAGAGTCTGAAACTGATTGGTATCTTTTCTAACTGGAAAAGTTATCCATTGATAAGCTGAAGGGAGGCTTTACTGATATTTAAGAGATACAAATCTCCAATACAGCTTTCTTTGGTTTAAGAGTAACTTTTAATGTTTCATTTCAGTTGGTCTCTAGCAAGTTTGCTAGTCCTGTGTATGTCTAGATGGGTTTAACACCGATTTGTTGTTTTAATAATGGATAAAAATCAAACTGGCGCAACTGCCCCAAACCAGACAGTTTGACTGCAATGAGGCAAACCTTCCTGCATGAATATTTATGGTTAGAATCATGTTTCTAACAATTTGGGTTGGGTAATTCCTTACCACTATAAGCTTTATCAGTATCAAGGAGTCAGTGTGAATCTTTCCATCAATAAGAGTGTTTATTATCATCTTGCATAATTAGGAACAGTTTTGTGCATGAATTGGATATGCTGGTTTAAACCTGCTTGCCACGGTTCAGCTTGGCTTGGTTACTGGGGCAGACGCAAGCTGAATAAATACAACCAACTTTTGATTCCTACGAAACAGTTCGCATATAAACTGCACTAGAAAAACTAGTTTTTATTTCACACCAACCCAAACAATCCATAACAGAGTTTTCAATAGTATCAGTGTTAATAGACTTAAAAGTACCACAGACTGGTGAGTGAGGAGGACTCAGTATAACGAATGAGTTACATCTGCTTACTGATGTAACCTGGCCTATAGCTTAGTTACAGATCTGGTAACATTGATCCTCCAGAAAATAGCTTTATTTGCCCACTTTCTGTTTCAAAGGCAAAGGTTATATACTGGATTGTCTTAAGACAATATGCTATAGACAGGTGACTGGTCCTTCAGCATCTCGTTTCCGTTGGCCCACTCACAGCAAGCATGAAAGGGCTCAGAGGAAAGGTTTTCTGTGCACTGTGGGACATACGTGGTGACTTGCAAGGTCTTGCCTGCTCCACACCTGGGCTGGCAGCTCTGACCTGCCAGGGAGGATGAAGCCCTAGCTTAAATCTGGTGGTTTTTGGCTGAAGGTATGTTCCCTTTCTTTTTTTGTTTCTTAGGAAGTGATTGAAATGCTCTGTCAGTCTGTCTGCACCTCACTGCTCCCAGGTGCTGCTCGCTGGCTTGCCCTCCTTCAGGCTACCAAATATTTGGGTTCATCAGGCCGCAGTTTCATGATCTTGTTCACGCAGAGCAGGATGAGAGTCAGAAACCAGAGGCTCCAGCCGACGGCCGCTGCAATCCATCCGTAATCATCCACACCCGTTGGGCAGCACACGGCCGCTTGCGTGCAGTAGTTCACATCTGGTGGCAAAGAAATGAAGTGAGCTGATGGGAGGCTAAGTGCGTAACAGGTTTCCTTTGCTAGAAGGCGGATGAGACAGTGACTTCGCTGTCTGCCCTGTGGCCTGTCACTCTGCCCTGGCATCTTTCCCCTAAGCCTTGCTCTTAACCTGGGGGATGGCAATATTCAGGTTCATCTGTACATCTTCAAGACTTGGTCATCCCTGTCTGGCCAAACACTTAAGCTGCTCCTCTTACCGCTGTGCCCACCGTTATGGAAATTTTTTAAAACACCTACTTAGCATCTCCTCAGTCAGTTTTAGGAATGGAGGGTGATAGAAGTAGCTAGTTAAAAATACACTCAGAGTAGAGAAACCTTCATGTGAGAGAGTAAGGGGATCTCTAGCAGAGACATATCTCCAATAGTTCAGGTACCCAATTCCTCTGCTTACAATAGAAGCAGCAGCTGCTCTCTGCTGGGCTGTTAACTGTGACTTGTGTGTAACAACTGCAAAACATGCCACCATTGGGGGATCCTCGTTTTACGTGTTTAAAAATGAAATAATTTTTAACAATTCCATTTATTTTTTCTTGCACTTTTTGCATCTTTTTTTTTGTTGTTTAAATCAGTCCAATTTCCTAAAGTCAGTTAAGGAACGTGTCATTAGTTGTTTCGTTTATGCTGTTATTTGAAGGCATCTGTCATACTTTTTCCATCACAAGGGCACAGTGAAGATACCCAGTTCTGTATCTGCATCCTAGATGGTAACGTGAAAATATCAAAAGAGAGCCTGGAGGATCATGGTGTCTCGACCACTGGGGCTGGAATAGAAGGTGAAACCCCAGTACCCAGGAGAGCTGAGGCAGCCAAAACCACCTTGCAGTTAACACGCATTGCTTGTTGACGTGCACAAAGCTTGTCAGCTGTGAGAAGTGAATGCCTCCTGAGCTCGGTGCAGGGCAGCCAGCCTTTTGCACATTTCCAGGGAAATGGCAAGTGGAGGTGCAGCTCAGTTGCTCTCATTCACGTATGTCTGGCAGGACCATGTTACTGTGTGCCAGCCTTCAGCGCGCACGGTACAATTGTCCGGCACTGTAGAGAACACCTCTTCCCACAGCAAGAGAGACATCATTTGTGTGCCTAGAGAAGGGAGATGGATGCCTGCCCCCTGTGCCTATGCCATGTTTTGAAGTAGCATACCTCTATTGGTACATGTACTGTAATTTGGCAAGTGCAGGGTGGTGGGGATATTCAGCATTTGGGATGGAGGATAACTCTGGGAGGACTGGCGGGATCTAAGGTTGCTGAGACTGGCTGTTTGGGGAAGACCTGGTAGGGTGAGGGAAGGGGGAATCCATGTTGTGGCTGCAGGCAGGCAATCTGGCAGGGAGCTTTAGGACGCAGAAATTGAATTAGCTACGAATTAGTCTGTTCAAAGCTATGAGTCCCTCTGAATGCACCTGAGATATTATACTGGGCAAGCCAATGGACGAGTCTAAGAAACACATCCTAGAATTTTACCCACAATGGAAGCCTTGACAACAGATAAATCTTTTTCCAGGATAACCACTTGGTCACCTGTGTAGTCTCATCACCTGGCTTTATCGTGGTAGTAGTGGTTTATGAAGACTTACAAAGGCATGGTGCTTCGTACTCATCTGCAAGCGTGGTGCTTGTTGAACCATTGGAAACATCTGCAGCTGCTGCCAGAAGGAAAGCATAGGATAAAAGGCAAGTTGGATTAGAAAAGCAATATTGGGCATCAAGCATGAAAATCTGACAGCTGTTGGCCTTGCAGAGGTCTGTGGGATGGAAACAACTTGGAGAAAATAAGTTCCTGCCCCTAAATGTTGCTGCATCAAGGTATGCTTTCTCATCCCACCACTGTCAACACAGACTCTAGAGAGACCTCTAGCACCAGTCATAAGGAGCAGTTGAACCACTGTGCCTCTGCCTGAGTATAACCCTGGCATGAGCTGTTCACTCAGAGCTGAAATTAACCACTGTCCTTGACCAAGCTGCAAGAGCAGATCGAGCAAGGGCTGAAATGAGAGAGGGCATGCAGTGGCACGGGGGAGATCCATGGCCAGTGAGCTGTGCATCTACCTCCTTTTGCCCTGAGAAAAGTCCCGCTACCTCGACAGTGCAGAGGAGTGCGGCAGAGCTGAGGGCTGAGCCACGCACGCAGAACCTCGGCAGACCCTCCACAGCCTCAGCGGGAAGCATTGGCTTTGCTGCAGTTCAGGCCAGCTGTGTCTGTTCAGGCCAGCACAGTAACCAGCTCAGTCTGGAAAATGCAACACACAAATAAGTGAGGGAGGGAGAGGGACAGGGGCTTCAGTGAAGATTTTGCCTCTTTATCCTGCCTCCTGCCCAGAATCAGAGCGCACGTGCGCTCTGGCACTGCTCTACAGCCGCTCTCCAGCCCTCCGAATCTGTACGTGGTGCCACAGGCCACAGCCTCCTTAGACCTCCTAACCGCCCCCCTTGCCCTCAGCTTCAGCATCTGCCTCACGGCACTGCAGGATCAGATGCAAGGACAGCAGCGGGACACCCGCGTGCGCATGCTGCTGTGGTCCCTGTGCAGTGACACCAGCCTGTCCCCTGCTGCAGAAGGAAGGGAGTCAAAGATGTTATCTCCTCCTGTGCCACTATGAGCAGTTCAGTTCAAGTTCAGCCAGGTGAAGTATCCCATGCTGAAATGGTCTGCAGAGACACGGAAGCCTGGAGAGCCTACAGGAGTAAGGGCCCCTGCTGCATGCAGATGGAGAGGGTCCAACGTGCTGCTGGTCCACAGACCAAGCAGAAGCTATAAGAGAACTATTTCTAGTCAAACAATCACTCTAAGCTGATAATTTGGAGCGTGACGGAGAGAGAAAATCAGTTCCAGCTCGATTTTACTGAAGAGTTCAAAATAATGGCTCAGGTTTAGTTTCAGGTCAGGAAAACAAAACAGAACAAGATCTTTGACCAAACTTTTGTGTCGAGTTTGGTATTTTCAAAGTAACAGCAAATTAACTGAGGTTGTCCTGCAGGAGATGTCCCCCTTGGGATCGCTGGCTGTTGTCCAACTTTGCATTTTGAGCTGACCGACTGTCAGCAAGACCAGAGCTTTCTTTACAGCTGCTGCCACGCAGCAGGTCCCTGGGCAGCCTGCTCCAGGGAGGGATCCGAGTGCTCCCCATTCCTCTTTCTGACTCTGCTAGGACTTGCTGAATGACCTTGGCCAAGCCCATAATTTATATTTATTTTCTGAGTTAATAAGTACCTCACAGGAGCATTGAGAAGAATCATTAAAAACTATGTATGACCTGTGGAAGAGCACACTGCAGAATACAGAGCATTGGTTCATGTTTATAGACTTTACAGCCCAAAGGACAGACTGTCAAAGCTAACCCATCTTTAAACATCTGGCAGGTCTCATCTGGTGCTGATATACAAATGTAGGCAGTAGCCTGATGGAAAAAGAGCAGCTCATAGGTCTCGTTTACATTTTAGTTTTAGGCAACTTCTCCAATTAAGGAGGCATCAAAGCCAGACTTCCTGCAAAAAGCACCTAGTAAAAGCTAAACTGGACTGCAGTGAGCCTTTTGGATGGTGTTTCAAATGGTCCCTTGCCTCAGCAAGCACATGAAAGCCAAGTAACTGTGGTCCCCTATCTCCTTGCCATTCAGCGGAGCGATGTGCAGCTCAGTCACATTTACAGCGGGTCTGCAAACAGCTGGAAAAGCACATCTCCTCTGAAAGATGATCAACCACGTCAAGTAATTCCCATCAGCATTAATCAATTCCAGCTCTTCAGACTTTTTAGATGAAACGAGGGAGCCCACCTTGTTTTTAAAGCACAAATTATTGTCGGTGGGCGCTGTATTTAGGTATTGGGAAGGATGAGGGAAAAGGCAGGGTATAGAAACTGGAGCATAAGAGAAGAGACATACCTGCTGAGTAGGGATACCAGAGCGTGATGGTGAAGACGAGCACAGCAAAGGCTGCCCGGAGCTTGCAGAAGAAGTGCTTCATGCCGGGGGTCCAGCTACCACCCGAGCAGCCGCAAGGAGCAGGTCGCTGTCGCTGGCAGTTCTGGTTCAGCAAATGCCCGGTAAGCTCGGAGAGCCGGTGTGGAGGGTGGAGCAAAGGAGCTGCCTGCTGCCAGGACACCTTGGACTCTCCTGCTGTGACCGGGTGAGGAAAGATAAGAGCTCTGACCAAAACAGCTCCGGCAGGAGGTGGATACCAGCACCCAGGCAGGTGGACAGCCCCTGAAGGTCAAGCCTGAAGGTTTCTCCCCAGGATCTGCTGCAGCTGGAGAGAGGAAAGCCCTCTGGAGCCAGCCCTTCCTAATAGGGTCTCAGGCAGCTTCTGTCTTCTGAGTCTCCTTTGGTCCTGCCGAGGTGGTCCAATAGAGCTGGAAAGGAGCAGAGGATTGGGGCAGAGAATTTGTCTCCCTGTCTAACTTTGATTTTTATATGTTTACTGGCTTGACCTCCCCCAAAACTGCCCGGCAATGATGCTTTTTTGGAAGGGCTGTGTGGAAGCCTAAAAAAACCGAAAGCAGTCTTTGGTCAAGCCCATACAGCAGCTACTGAGTTAACACAGGATACAGGTGCGTTTCCACCAAGAAATGGGAGGAAATCAGCTGCTTCATGTAGGCCACTGACACCTGTTACACAGCGACTGCTGCCTTTCTGTAAGGACCTGTGCCAAGTTACGGAGTTCCAGCCCGGGGCCTGCACGGGAAGGAGCTGTGGCCGTTCTTGCCCCGTGAGCGCAGCGCTGTTGCTGCCTCCATCATCCATGTGCAACGTCATACTGAAAAAGGTGCTTGCTTTTTTTTTTTTTCTTCCACCTCTTCCATGGCAGGGGTAAAACCATGACATGGGCAAAGGGCTTCCCACCAGCACAGCAATATCTGCAGACCAGGAGGCTTGCTGGTAGAATTACATTGGCTGGAGGGCAAGGCTTTTTTTCTACAATCCTGGCTGGAAAAGCCATGCCATTGAAGTACTTGTGGTGTCGTCTTAGTCTGACGAGCACTGCACGATGCTGCTGTCTCCGGGGCTGTTGGCTCTGCTTGCTTCTTGCTTTGACCCTCTGTAACGTCTTTGCTAGATGTCAAATCAGGCAGGAAGGCGCTGGGAGAGGTGGGCTTAGCAGGGAGCCGGTTGCTGGTGCTCTTCAGCAGCGGTCGCTCATGGCTTTGGGGGTGCTCACGGAAGAACGAAGCCGTGTGGGACCTGTTCTGGAAGTGCAGCTATCCTATGGGAGGCAAGGAGGAAGGCGCCTGGGGCAGCAAGCCTAGTAGGATGGACATATTTTATAATTTTCTCTTTTTTTCCTTCCACACTACTGAAACCTGCAGGGGTGGACATAATAGGCTTCCCTTGTGAACTGCATACAACGGGGTGCTGCTGTGCAAAACTGTGAGGTTTGCTCGGTCTCTGTTTAAGAAAAGCCTTGAGAGCAAAACCCACATAAGTTTAGCCCTGCCCAGCGTTTCTGTGGGGCGAACCCGCTTTTCCTCCCCGTTGGCCACCCCTGGCCACTGAAAAAACTCTGCTCCCTTCTAGCTGCCAATATTTCCGTGATGCAGCAGGACACAGGCAGCCAGAGGTTTCCCCCAGAGAGAGGGCACACTGAGCCGCGGGTGGAGGCAGGCCAGCTAAAACGGGCATGTTTACCCACCTTCTCTCCCTGTTTTTGTGTCAACATGCCACCCGGGGCTGGCAGAGTTTGGGCTGTGCCGGCCGGACCACGACCAGCCACTTGCAGCTGCTGAGGGTTTCCATGACCTCGTCCTTCAGCTGACACCCAAGGGGTGTCCCAAGGTGTGTCGTGCTAGGCTGGGAGCGAGACTCCGGTGACCATTGCTCTTGGCCTCAGTAGACATGAGTCAGGTGCTGTAAAATACTCTGACTGCTCAGACCTTCTTGAAATTAACCTATAGGGTAATCTTAATCTCTGCCTTATTTCAGTGCCTAAGTCCTTTCGTGCCAGTTGTCTTTAATTTGTGTTTTTATCTGAGCACTCTGTTCCATCGAAACTAAAACTCAACTTTTTACTGGGGAAAGATCCTCCACTTTCTTCCGTCTTCACCTGTCCCTCCTGAATTTCTCACCTATGATCCTTCTGAAAGTTGACCTGGCAGTTAATTTTGCACAAATATCAAGTACAAAAGTGTTGTGTGCAGCACAAAATGTTTGAGGGGAAATGAAAAGACAAAACTGCTCCACTATTTCATGGGTAATTCGATTTACGATGAAATGTCTTTTGAATTTTCACTATTACCTAAATGCTCTTTGTCAGCTTGCAGGTAAACATGCCCATTTCGCAGGGATGCTGAGAATGTTTTGCAGGCTTAACATAATGCATTTCTTTTCCTTTCCAAAATGTGTTCCCTCCGTGGGTCAGAAAGGGCCTGCTCCAAAGCCTCCTGAAGCAGCGAACAGGCTGCTCTCTGCTTCAGCAATTTTTGGATTGGATTGGAAATGAAGGCTTTGCTTGATAAGTTCAGGCACAATGGGAGCCCTATAAAATCATCTCCTGACACAGATTTGGATTTGCTTCATTCCTTCTGTGTAACACATTCATATTTCAGCACTGTGACTGCCCGAAGAGTGATAAGACTCTCCAAAGCCTTCCCCTGGCTTGGTTTCTACACATCCACGGGCTGCCCCAGCACGCAAGGCATGATGGCAGCACTGGCAAAGATGGGGGCTCCCATTCCCATGCAGTTCTCAAGGCAGGACTCTGTTTACTCTGAAATTAGGTTTGTCCTCACCCGTTCCCTTTGGAGACTCTTCCACAGTGCATAGGGCTGCTGGTCTGCTTGTTCTGATGATTACGAAGAAGGCAATACCTACCATTTGGTATGTTTTGTGCCACAGAACGTTTCACAGGTAAAGTTCTCTGATGACCAAGGTATTACCCTTGACATGTCACAACCAGGTGTGGCTCTCAAAGTTATTACCTTTATCACACACGTACACGCCCACTCTGTCTATAGATATATATTTTCTGTTTACATAGACACGTTGATAGAACATGTTGATATTTTTAGTTCCAGATGAAAGCTGATTGCTGCTGTGATCCTGCTCCATCCCAGCAGTGACCAGTACGATGGCAACTGAGCCATAGCATGGCAAAACACACAACCCATGAGAGCACAGCAGAGCAGGTACACCATCTCTGGGCATACCAGCGGTAAGAAGACAAACCTCTTTTTTGTGTATAACACTCGAGGTTGGGTTAACTACACTCCTACTCTCGTTTCAGCATACCTGAGGTGTTATTCTGCTTGGCTGCTGCAACAGGAGAGAGCTTTGGTGAAAGAGAGCTCAAAAATTAACATCCCACGTAGCCACGCAAAACCTCATGCAAGGTGAAGCTCAGCATGGGGTGATTATAGCTGAGATATTGATCCCAGAGCCACCTGCAGCTGCATGAAACTTCCCCATGATGCTGAACGTGATGATAGCCCAGCCAGAGGGGTTGCATGTTTGGGACTCCCCAGAGATCTGTGTGTTGATGCACTGAATTTGATGATTAGTTGACAGTTCCCAGTTCCTATTCATGAGGGCTCTGTGCAGCCTTTGAGGTCCTAAATGGCAAGGAGAATGCTGGGTCATCTGTGCTATTGCTGAGACCACAGCAGTGGATCTGTCTATCTCCTGCCCTTGCTTATTAGGTAGCAAAATCTCTAAGTGCAGCAGAAGGAGTGTCTGTCAGGAGGGCAGGTCTGTCTATTTTGTATTGCAGTGTGAGCTCTCTCCCAGTTGGCCTGTATAAAGCTTAAAAAAAGCTTAAGGGCGTTTATAAACTCCTCAAAATGGCTTTAAAGAGAACAAAACTTTAAGCCTGATGCCAATAATGCGTTCATCGGGGAGGGGGTCGTTTTGTTTGTTACCTTCATTGATGTGAAAAACAGCTATCTCAGATAAAGCTACCTGTGAACAGAGGATTCGATTTTTAAAACCAGGCAAACGGAGGGAAAACGTCAAATCCACAAAGGTTTTACCCTTTAAATGAAAGAAGAGGAGAGGGGATCTGCTTTCTGTTGCGAAGAGGAAAGCAGCTCTAGCATTTTGAAAATCTCCACAACCCTGCCCTTTGTGTTTTCCAGTCTAGGCTGGGGTTGCTATTAGATAATTGTTGAGCCTGTTGCCCTGCTGTGACCCCAAGTTGTCCTTCTGGAGACCCCAGCGAGGGAGCCCAAGGCCAGCCAGACAGAGCTGCCAGCACCCACAACGAGCCCACTGACGGGGCTCCTCCGAATGGCGCCTCATCGTCAGCCGTCATCATCTGATCTTTAATGATAAGATTATTATAAAGTAATGTTCTTACTTCCACATGCCAGAGGCATGAAATAGGATATGCTTTCTGCTCCCCTCCTCTTCCTGGGAAGGGTGTGGAGGGAAGGGCAAGAGATGCCCATGCTCTGAGTTTGCTTGCTCCTTGTCTGACGGGATGGAGTCGCCGGCACAGCATGGCTTACTTTGGTGATGAAGAGCGTGTTGGAGGTCCCTTCTGCTCCCCCCACCCTGACAGCTTGTAGGGGAATAGCTGAGTGTAACGCTGGGGCTGAATAAGAGCAGCATAGGTGCAAACCAGAAGCAAATCCTGGTATCATGAAATGGACACAACAGCTTTGCTGGGGGGAGGATATGCTGCAGGGTCAGAGGTTGGGGGAGTAGCTGGAGAAGCTATTTCATTTTGTTGTGTCAATATACCTTGGTCGAGTACTGAACGATGACTCCTGTCATTCAGCATTACAGCCCGGGCTGCAAGGCAATGCCCTCCCTTTCCCGCACCCGCCTGTCCTCAGCCCTGCGTGGCAGACGTGCTGCTTGTGCAC